GTGATTATGATTACACTCACACACACGCAAAACACACATACACTCAATGGTATACATTCACACTTAATAGCACACCGGCGCACACATACACACGCGCAGAATCCAGAATCCAGAAATTTACTTATTTTTTCAACCAAAAAAATACCAAGTACAGAGCGCTGCTAAAACCCCTTGAACTACTCTCTACTCTGAGAACGGAACCCATAACTGGCAAAAAATTGGGTGAACAGAAGAAAACTGAAAACGGGCTAAATATTTACGGTTATTTGTTTGTATTTACCCGCCTTATTTATCGGGCCGGAAATGAATACAAAAATTACTTTTTTATATTTTTATTATTTAAATTAAAAAATGTCTATTTACGTATGTTCGTCGACAAAAACGTAGTGTAGGACGGATGGTTCTCAACAGAGTCAGGGAGCAAAGTGCAAACCCCATAACGAGAAAACTCTGACGTGACTGATGATGACCACTCCCCATGACTCACGTCGTAATTCACACTCCTGTGGCTCCATATAAATACATAAACAATTGGATAAAGTAAACAAACGAACAACCTGTTAACTCTATCGTTGACTGTTCGTATACATCGGCCACCACAATGAAGAGCGCCATTGCTATTGTATTCGCTGCATTGTATGCATCCGTGGAAGCTGGTTGCTATGGTAATAACCCTAGACCCGCCCCCCTAACCCACGAAGAAAAGGTGTGTATAGCACTTGCTGATTAGCTCGGATCCTTTTTATTATTCTGCAAGCGCCCTTTTGTGTTGATGTTTTGTTGCGGCAGTGCACGTCGGAGATTTTTTTTGCCGTGTGACTTTAAAGTGGAACTTAACACATCTAATGAACTTCTTTACTAAAACACTTATGGAGGCTTCAATCATTATTCAGGATGCACTATTTGATATAGTTTTCTGGATTGATCCGCCTATCGGATATTGCGAACTTACTTACCCACGGACAGATGTTGTTCACTTATACAGCGCAAGCGACTGCATTTTGTTCTGGCTTGGGTTCCATGTCTATTTGTTTTTTAAATTTAAACTCAATCCCTATCGCAGAAAGCACCGTCTTGTATAAGGCTTGCGACTGTATTGTTATATTTTCTGATAGTTCATTCTAATCGGTTTATCAAATCCAATCACTATTATTACAGGAAGCTCTGTCTTACAACCACGATCCCATTGGCACCAACGATGTGCGGGCGCAGAGTATCCCTGATGCCTGGGACTGGAACGATGTTGACGGCAAATCCTATCTTACCCCTAGCTGGAACCAGCACATCCCTGTATGGATTTGTGTTTCACTTCATTTTATGAAAAGTGTTATACTTTCTTGCAATTGTTATGTGTATATTTAGCTAGGACAAGCACATTTCTGTAGTCCCAGTATGATGTATTCAATGTGTCAAGCTGAGCCAAGCCCAATGATTATGTTATATACACCGCGAATCTTTTCTGTGCGTTAGCATGTGTTACATAAGGGCTTGCTAGGCACTTTTTTTTTTCGAGTACGTGATCAGACTGCTGTATCTATTTAATTTTGACAAAACATTGCCCAAAGGGAATACATGGTACGGTCCGTGTCCTCAATGTTTTATACATGAAGGTTGTATTTTGCACCGCATTAGTTCATAGCCATCTTTTAAAGTTGTTCACGACCACTATATACTCGCTCACGGATGGGAGTTACTGTGTACTACAACTGCTTATACCTCACATTTACTAATACGCTTCACCGAACCCTTTGTAATACAACAGAAATACTGTGGCTCCTGCTGGTTGCACAGTTCTCTGAGTGTTGTGCAGGATCGTATCAAGATCATGCACGGTGGTGATGGCATTGATGTTATGCTAGCCCGACAGGTTCTAGTCCAGTGTGCACCTTTGGACGGCATGTCCAACGGGTATGTGTACATACTTGACGTGCTTATTTTCAGCTCTAAAAATGTATTTGCTTAAGTAGTCCAGTGTGCACCTTTGGACGGCATGTCCAACGGGTATGTGTACATACTTGACGTACTTATTATCAGCTCTAAAAATGTATTTGCTTAAGTATTCGGTGCCAGCATGATGAGATGTGTACTATGTGTTAAGCCAAGCCAAGCCCAATGATTATGTTATGTACACCGCGAATCTTTTCTGCGCGTTAGCATGTATTACATGAGGGCTTGTTTGACACTTGTTTTCGAGTACTGTATATAAATAATCTGCGTGTAAACCTACTATGTATATAATCTGCGTGTAAATTTTGACAGAAGAATCACTTATCACGAATAAATGGCACGATCGTTGCATATTCTATCCATATATATTGTCTTCTGGATTGCTTTAATTCATGGCCATCTTTGAGAGTTGTTTATGACCGCTATATCTTGATTCAATTTCATTATATAATACAGTTGTGGAGGTGGAGACCCCAAGGACGTGTTCGGCTACATGCAGAAATACGGTATGTATATGATATGTTTCTCAGTGTAATCGGAATCAGACGAGCCTTTTCCAGACCCTGATGGTACATGCATTTGCTAGTTTTCTGCGTTATACACAACCGAGATTTGTGATGTAGTGTACGAACACACCCCTTAGACAGCAGTTCTCATATCTGGAGTATTTAGCACGTTTGAAAATACTAAACCACATTGTAAGGTACTAAAACCGGGGTTAATACGCATGTTTATGTGATATCTAGGTCTTCCCGACGAGGGCTGCATGGTGTACAAGGCCGACGACACCGACTACAACCGCCTCAAGAAGGAAGGTGTCAAGGAGTGTCCCGCTGAGGGCATCTGTGTCAACTGCATGACTGGCCACAAGCCCGAGTGCTACCCCATCAAGAAGCCCCTTCTATACGGGTATGTTAAACTTCTAGCACTGCTGTGTGTGTGCTGATCGTTGAGATTAGGTAATGTGTCCGCTGTGTCCTAGTCATCTGGTGTGATGTGTTTTTTTTCTGGTGATCATAAAGTCAGCATGATATTAAATGTCCGGAAGGAATCGTCTTTCCTCAGCACTACAATCATTTGTACTGAATCGGAGAAAGACAAGAACAGTTCGTCATCACTTACACATGATTGTATATGCTTGCTGACTTTCAAGCGTCGCTCATTTGTTGTATCCCAATTTCCTCTTGCAGAGTCAAATCCTGGGGTGTGATCGGCAAGGGAGAGGAGGCCATGAAGGTAATTCCTTTATTTTAGATGTTCTCATTCTCAATGCACATTTTAGTGTATTGTTTGTGATTGCCTGTTATATTTCTTACTCATTTTGTGTCACTGACGGGATACGGTGCATAGAAGGCCCGTACGATATATGTGTATATGTCAATACTAGATACCAATTGACCACGGATTCTAAAATGTGATTTAGATAGACAGTCTTATGAAAGAACGTGGTTTCATTATGAGATATATTTGCACTGTTTGTATCAGGTTGCTATCGACACTCGTTACTTGTAATTCACATCTAACGAACTGTTTTCTTCTGTTTATAATAGGCTGAGATCTATAACCGCGGACCCATTGTATGCTCCATTGCCACCGGAAAGGCCCTAGACTACGGCTACCGTGGCGGTGTCTTCATTGACCACAACAACGTCACTGATGTCGACCACGACATTGAGGTTGTTGGTTGGGGAGAGGAGGATGGCGTGCCATTCTGGAAGATCCGTAACAGGTATGGTTCTCTTATTGTATCCTTTCTCACTATGCGGCTAACATCTGCCGTGCGTCACTCTCGTCTCATGTATTGGCACGTATCGACTTTTCAGTGCATGACTCAAGACATGTGACCAAACAGTTTGTCTATGTTTGTTTGTTTTTTAGCCTCGCAATCAAATCATGAACGCAGCTGATTGACATTACATTTCCCACACGTACCACACTTGCTGTACAGTTGGGGAACCTTCTGGGGAGAGATGGGCTTCTTCAAGCTGCGAAGAGGCACCAACGAGCTTCAGGTCGAGCAGGACTGCTGGGCTGCCGTTCCCGACATCTCTATGGAGCAGGATGTGCTTGACGGTAAACTGGTCGGTTCCATGGATGACGGTCTAGTCAAGAAGACGGAACTATAATTAATCACATCGCATAGTGAGTATACCTATGGTGTCTGCGGTCCGTGAGGAAGTTGGCCAATAGTGCTCTGGGTGGACTTTGCATACGCTAGGCCTTAAAGGCGGATAGATAGTATTGAAGAGATGCGCAACTAATGCATTGATGTGACGTCATCTCACTCTTCGCAGAGGTGTAAGGCCACGGCCTCGTAGGATAGTATATAGGTGCAATACACAACAATTAAAGTCAATGGACACAAAGTAGACTAATGCAAGTGGTTTCGAATTTTGTTTTTCTTCAGCTGATTGCAGCCACATATATCTTGAGACTTTACTGACGCACGTCCACGGCCATCCACCGAATATTGTAAATTTGTCGGATTCACCGTTTGTGCTTCTACCTTCTACTGACATAACAGATTGCGGACTGTGCTTGTTCATTCTGATTGTGTTTCGTATGGCTATTTGTATATTTGTTATATCCATCATGTGTGCTTCTACCTTTTAATGACCGCAACAGATTGCCGACTGCGTTTGTTCATTCTGATTGAGTTTCATATGGCTATCTGTATATTTGATGTATCCATCATGTGTGCTTCTACCTTCTACTGGCCACAACAGATTGCCGACTGTGTTTGTTCATTCTGATTGTGTTTCATATGGCTATCTGTTCATTTGTTGTATCCATCATGTGTGCTTCTACCTTCTACTGACCACAACAGATTGCGGACTGTGTTTGTTCATTCTGATTGTGTTTCATATGGCTATCTGTTCATTTGTTATATCCATCATGTATACCTCTACCTTCTACTGACTACAACAGATTGTGGACTGTGCTTGTGATTGCGGACTGTGTTTCTGCGGACTGTATTGAGGACTGTGTTTGTTCAGTCTGATAATGTCTATATTATTGTCCGTTTATTTGTTGTATTTATCATGTGTGCTTCTACCTGCTACTGACCACAACAAATCGCGCATCCTGTTTATTAAATCCGATAGTGTCTTATATGGATATCTGTTTTATTTTGAGCATCGATTGCCGTTCCACGCGCTACAACACAGCTTCTTCTATTATACACTATAGCCACAACCTGTCTTGCGGATTAAACACATAGGTCACCCATTCTGTCGTAATAGAAATAAATAGGAATGGCCCCTGTTCTTTGGTGAGGGGTCTGCTCGTTTACCAATATTATCCAGATGAGTTGTACACCTCTGCTGTAAAGCGTGTACTGTTGCGTTACTTAAGCCTGTCGTTTTCTAAATTGTCACCGGAAACGCAATCGTCTATGACAATTAACCAAAGTGACGGCTATTCGAGATATAACCTAAATCACAAATACTTCTCTATCATACGCCAAGAGATACACCACTACTTAGAGATAGACTATTACGTAAAGAGATATACTATCACGGAAAGAGATAGACTATTAAGTAAAGAGATAGACTATTACGTAAAGAGATAGACTATTGCGTAAAGCGATAGACTATTAAGTAAAGAGATAGACTATTACGTAAATAAATAGACTATTAA